GCCCTGGTATCGGGCTCTGTGTTTTTTTTTTTTTTTTTCCGCTTTCGACCATTTCTTGATTCATGCAAAGGTATCGACATATACTGGATTTTTTCCGGGGGGGGGGGGTTCCGAAGTTAGTGCCTAAAATCCGTAGCATTACGCACGTGCGTTGTATACGAATACAACGCACCCCGTGCGTTGTATTCATATACAACACACGTGCGTTTTGTTCGGGGGAAGACTGTAGTTAGTAGAGGAGACAGACGGCGGCCATAGCCGCCACGTCAGCAAGGTTAGAGTGTTAGTGTGTGTGTGTTGATCGTGTGTTGTGTGTATGAGTGCGGGACATTCAGGGAGATCCAGGGTGTGTGTGCGAACAAGTTGCTGAGTGTAGCCGATCGAGACAAGTCTGAATCTGAAGTGTGTTCGTGGCTTCGTTATCTCTGAGCTTTGTGTGGGCGCAAGTCGCCAGATTGATCGTCATCTGTTTGCATGCACGCTGAGTAAAACTCTCTCATTACTTACTCAGAAAGGAGGGCCCGGCCACCCCACATAAAGACCGGATCTGGGAGTTTTTCCCTGTGTTATGCTTTTGTGTATCTCCAATAAGAACTTCTCGTTGACCACGACCTACATATTTTGTGGCTTCGTTATCTCTGAGCTTTGTGTGGGCGCAAGTCGCCAGCTTGATCGTCATCTGTTTCATGCACGCTGAGTAAAACTCTCTCATTTTTTCTTACTCAGAAAGGAGGGCCTGGCCACCCCACATAAAGACCGGATCTGGGAGCTTTTCCCTGTGTTATGCTTTTGTCTATCTCCAATAACAACTTCTCGTTGACCACGACCTACATATGTGTATATATTGACTATATATCGTCACAAACAGAACTGCCCGGTAAACCGTAGGCAGAGAGAGAGAGAAGAGGACAACAAACGAGGGGCTGTGACAAACTGTTTCGTCGGAGTTTGACTATATATATATATACAATAGCTGTGTGAGGAATGAGCCCTCAAGAAGGGGCCTTGYCATGATGTACATGTTCTGGGTTAAGGCCCCAGCAAGCCTCGTGCCCGCCCTAAGTGAAGGCGGGCCAGCAAATCAACAAGAGCCTTCTGTGCATACATTTCACGAAGTGGGGTCTGTACAGTTGCAGCACGCCAGTTGGTTGGAGTGCACCGAGTCTCGGATCTCAGCAAATGCTGAAATGCCCAGGGCCTCTGAGTTAGTTAGGCCCTGGGCACTTGAACGTAAGGCCGACAATGCACGCTGGGTATAGAGGCCGAAAATGCAAAGGGAAACCGGCCCACTGTCTGAATCTGGCCGCAGGCCTTGACGAGAGAGGCACAACTGCATCTCCCGGGCCCCAACTGTAATGGGCTTGGGTTCAGCCACTGGGGCCCAGTCACAGGCTGAAGGGAGGCCGCCCACACGCAGCACTGGCATATAGGCAAGCAGGGCGAGTGGGCAGGGATCCTTGGTCAATGCAGGCATTGCCGGCACGCTGCGCAATTGCGAGTGTGCATGCGCTGTGTAAAGCTGCATTGCGCATGAGGGAGGAGGCCAGCGCTAGGCGGTAGGGCCCTGCCTGCACTCAGTGCACTGACGGCCATAGCCTGGGCCGCAAGAGGGTGCAGTGGAGGTGAAGGGCGAAGGTGGTTCTTCGGAGGTGAAGGGCGCTGTGTGGGTAACAGGGAAGAGTGTGGGTGAAGAGGACACGTACCTGGTGGAGGTGGAGGTCGGCATTGGTGTTGACATCATCACTCGCTGGTAGTCAAGTTGTCTGGTTGCTGTCATTGCTGTAGTTGTAGGCTAGGCTGTAGAGTAGATAGGGCGCCTGGCGCCATTCACAAGAGAGAGCTACATTTGGGTTATGCTGTTGGTGTTGCCCTGTTGGGCATGGACATTGACTCACAATTCTTCTGTATCATTCTCAATTGGATTGTTACTCGGTTCCATTGTGCTATCTGCTTTGGCTTTGACTACTTGGACTTCAGTGTGATTTTGCATTCTGGATTTCTGTGCTTCGTCCATATTCATGTTCCTTGCAGCTGCATATGTTACGTGATATATATATACACATATATGTGGGAGAAAGTGTGTGTGTGTGTGTGTCTTGATATGTTCATGGCACATTGTCTTCTTCAACGGATTACCTCTGCTGTCCTAACTCTATACCGAGTATATTTTTCCCCAAACAGCTCGGTCCCTGGCTATAGGGCCCTAGCAATCGCCCTACGTTTGACTTCCTGGTCTTAACCTACTTGTTATGGGCGTCATCCTTCGCTTAGAAATCTAAGCGAATCGATTAGAAATCTACGCGTGGGGGTCATCCTTCGCTTAGAAATCTAAGCGAATCTATTAGAAATCTACGCCAAGGAGGACGAATCGCTTAGAAACGAAGGAGGACGAATCGCTTAGAAATCAACGCGAAGGACTTCTTACTTCATGACTTCCGAGAGGTGTTCCAGCGCACATATATACCGAGATTACGAGAGGCCATCGTATTCATTCAGCAGAACCTCAGGATGCTTTTTGGACTTCACCTTCATCTCTCTCTCTCTCTCTCGATCGATCGATCGATCGAATCGAAAGAGAGCATTGTGTGTGACACGATGACCTTTCTGCTTTCTCTCTCCAGTTACAATTGAGTCTCCCCTTTTTTCCTTTTTTTTTTGGGAAAAAGTCAGGATTCGTAATTGACTCTCTGAGATGTAGTGGACAAGTAAACAGGTGGTGATAATACTCCGTGAAGGCCCTTGTGAGCACTTCTATAAATATATATATATAGCATGATTGTGCCAGACTGTTTCGTCGGACTTCCACCGACTCCCCTCAGCAGGTTGAGTGTTCGTTACATAACATAATGCGCCTTGCACGTGCAGCTCCCCACCAATAGACTAGAGCAACCAGAAAGGCTGCTACCGTAGGCGGGGGAGGCTGCTAATATCACCCCCCTTCCCAACGGCCGGAATGGCTTCGTTTTTCTTTTTCTTTCTTAAAAAATCCAAAAAAAAAAACAACAAAACCAAAATAAACGAAAAAAAAACATAATGCGCCTTGACCTTCATCACGGTTGGCGCTGCTTACTGCTAACAAACGTACA